GACAAAAAACCCTGAAAATAATGGAACATAGGGGGAATCCTTTTATTTGTGTGTATTTATTTGTGTGTTTGTGGGCCCCTTCACATTTATCCATACCCACCGCCTGGAGGGTCAGTTTTCGGAGCCGCGGCAGGCGGTGGATCGGACGGACTGGACTTGGGACGGGAGGTGTGCTGCAGCAGCGGTGGTGCCTGGGGTTTTCTTTTGGTCCTCCTCCGTCTTCCGCCCTACGTCTTCCGCCATTCGTCCTCCTGCTCCTCCTCCTGCTCCTCTTCCTCCTCCACCTCCTCCGGTGAGATCGAAGGGGAACGGAGAGCCCCCCTACCGGGAAATCGATTTCGGTGTCGTGTTCGTGCCGTGCGTGCGGGCGAGGCGAAGCTGCGTGGGCGGAGGAGAGGAAATTCTCCTGTGGCTTGGCCGCGGCTGGACCAAAAGGTTCTCCGCCCGGCAACCCGTGGCGCGCGGTGTCCCGCGGGTGTCCCGCTGGTGTCCCGCTGGTGTCCCGCCGGTGTCCCGTCGTGGCTGGGCCGCGGCCGGACCAAAAGGTTCTCCGCCCGGCAACCCGTGGCGCGCGGTGTCCCGCGGGTGTCCCGCTGGTGTCCCGCTGGTGTCCCGCCGGTGTCCCGTCGTTGTCCCGTGGTGTCCCGTGGTGAGGTCGACAGTGAGATCGGTAGTGAGATCGACAGTGAGATCGATAATGAGATCGATAGTGAGATCGATAGTGAGATCTATAGTGAGAGATCGATAGTGAGATCTATAGTGAGATCGATCGTGAGATCGATAGTGAGATCGATAGTGAGATCGAACGGGTGGGATCGATAGCGAGATCGATAGTGGAATCGATAGTGAGATGAATAGTGAGATCGAAAGCGAGATCAATAGTGAGATCGATAGCGAGATCGATGGTGGGATCGATAGTGGGATCGATAGTGGGATGGATAGTGAGATCGACAGTGAGATCGATTGTGTCTCGTCGGTGTCCCATTGGTGTCCCGTCGGTTCCCGTGGTTTCACGTGCTGAGATCGATAGTGATGTCGATACTGATATCGGTAGTTAGATTGATGAGACCGATAGTGAGAACGATAGGCTCGACACCAAGGTTACCAAGAGCGAGAGGCAACGCAACGATCTCCACTGGCATCGTCAGAACAACAATCACCACCGTTGCCCATTGCTGGCCCCCTCCCCCCCAACCTCCTTATCACCCACAGGGTGGTCGTATAGGTATGGACATGTTCGGGCCCCCGGGGGCCGAAATATATCCATATCCACCGCCCGCTGGGGCACCAGGACGTCGGTTCCCAGGCGGTGGATATGGATAACTCCCCGCCTCGCACTTCTGGCCCAGGTCCCACTGCAACTGCACTGGGATCTGGGGGCACGCCTCACGACCTCGGCTCACCCCTCACGCGGACCATGACCCACGGGAGGCTTCAATGCGGCTGCGCCTGCTAGCTCCGCACGCAGCCCCCCGTCCGCACGGCACTGCCCCGCGGCGCGCTCGATTTGAAGACAGGGCCACGCCCTGCGCGACACGCGACTGCATAGGTTGGACCGCTCGCTGGACTCATCTTGATGGGCTGGCCCCCCCAGCCCCAGCAGGCAGTTAGGGGGCACGCGGATGTCTACTCTCAGCCAGCGGCACGCGTAGCACCAGCCAGGTCGTCGAAGGTCTGGGCCTCCCCCCCCCGGCCTCTTGCTCCTGCCGCCTGCCCGACGCGCTCCTGGCCGCCGCGGCCTCCTCCTCCTCCTCCTCCTCCTCCTCCTCCACCTCCTCCTCCTCCTCCTCCTCCTCCTCCTCCTCCTCCTCCTCCCCCCTCCTCCTCCTCTTCCTCCTCCATCCTCCTCCCTCTCTCCTCCTCCTCCTCCTCCTACCTCCTCCTCCTCCTCCTCCTCCTCCCCCTCTCCTCTTTCTCCTCCTCCTCCTCCACCTCCTCCTCCCTCCTCCTCCCTCCTCCTCCCTCCTCTCCTCCTCCTGTCTCCTCCTCCTCTCCTCCTCCTTCTCCTCCTCCACCTCCTCCTCCTCCTCGCCCTCCTCGCCCTCCTCCCTCCTCCTCCTCCTCCTCCTCCTCCTCCTCCCCTTCACCGCTCTCTGCCCGGGAGCCTCTTCGGGTTCGAGGGAGGTTCTGGGCCAGTTTTGGGGGTTGGGAGTCTTCTAGCATGTGCGCTGGGGGTTCCGAAGAGGAGCAGGAGGAGGAAGAGGAGGAGGAGGAGGAGGAGGAGGAGGAGGAGAGCAGGAGAAGAGGGAGAAAGGGGCAGAGGAGGAGAGCGGAGGAGGTAGGAGGAGGAGGAGGAGTAGGAGGAGGAGAGGAGGACGAAAAGGAGAAGGAAGAGGGGGGGATTAGGATGAGAATCAGGAGGAGGACTAGGTGTGGGATTAGGAGGAAGAGAAAGGGGCTCTGAAGGGCAGTGCTTGGGGTTTGGAAGAGGAGCTTCCCCTACTACTCGAAGCGCCAGCCCGAGGCGTTCCTACTTTCATCGGCCTCCTCTTGCTCACCCACGGCGTCTGCTTCTCCTCCTCCTCCTCCTCCTCCTCTCCCTCCTCTTCCTCCTCCTCCTCCTCCTCCTCCTCCTCCTCCTCCTCCTCCTCCTCCTCCTCCTCCTCTCCTCCCCTCCTGCAGCTCCTCGTGCCTCCCCCGCCCTCGTGCCAGCCCTCCTCGTATCCCCTCGGCCTCCTCCTGCTCCCTCGCCTCCTCGCCCTCCTTCCCCTTCTGCCCCTCCCACCGTTCCCCCCTCCGGCGATGCGGTGCAGGGAGGAAAGGCAGGAGGGCGAGGAAGGGGGGAGGGCGAGGAGGCGAGGGAGCAGGAGGAGGCCGAGGGGATACGAGGAGGGCTGGCACGAGGGCGGGGAGGCGCGCGGAGGAGCCCCTCCCCACCCTGCGTACCCTCGCCTCCTCGCCTCCTCGGCCTCCCCCTTCGCCCCGCTTGCCTTGGCAGACGACGACGACGCCAACGACCTCGACGACGCCAACGACGACGACGACGACGACGACGACGACGACGACG